TACACATTCTGTTAGAATGTTTGATACAAAACATAATTTTTATTATTCGTACAGAACAAACAAAAACACAATTCTTTTATCCAAAGCAGTATAATGTAATTGTTAATTACAATATGCATTAAAAAAACACAATGCTTATTATTCGTACAGAATAAGTGTTTCTAATTTCATGTTACATTCTGATTATTCAACGATTCTGTTAGAATTCTTTGGATGCCATTCTAGCAGAATGCTATTTTGTATGAAAATATACGGATCAAATAGGAGCAAAATAAATTTAATGATATTATTGTCACATATAGTTTTACATAATAAGATTATTGAATCATGATACCGTGGTATATGAATGTCTATGTTAAGTTGTACGAGAACATACATAACAAATGTGTGAAAAATATTTTCATTGTAGATATTGTTTGTGATTTCCTCAGAGAATAACACACTTGTGGTATTTTCAATTAATTTTTTTTTAAGTTTGCAGAATTAATTTTTTAAAAGTTTAATTTAAAACACAGGATGTGTTGTAGTCATATATACACAATTTATTATATTTGGAAGTTGAATATGTCAAATATTTACAAAATACTGATGAATTAAACAATTTTTTTTTTTTTTTGCATATTATCCTTACAATCTCTATAAAAATTAAAAAAAACCAAATATTTGATAACAATGAATACAAATATCACGCATTTTTAGTTACATATCAATTACATGGTTTCTCCATTTTTAATATATACTGAATTGGCTCAAATCTTCTAATATCGCATTTATTTTGATTTCTCATATCAACTGGTGTTCAATTGTACTTTTACTTATCTTATGGATGATACAATATCAGCTGGTGATGATCATATTCATGATCAACATGAACTTCCTAAGGAGTATGAAAATTTCGGGTTACGGGATCATGACTCTCTACATCATGTCGAATTTCAAATATCTGAGAGTAGCAATCTAAATTTAGGTGATTTTACTTTATAATTTTTAATATGTGTTTTTTGTATAATAATAATGTTGAAATTTTCTATTGTTTTTTTTTGTTGTGGCGTAACTTGCACTTGCAAAGACGAGGTTCCATTAGAACACATTCAAGATCACATGTATGACAATTCCGAATATCATTTCGGTGAATCTAGTAATCATAACCCATATGATGTATTTAAGTATTTTTTTTTTTCGTTTTTATATATTTTTGGGTATCCATTACACGAGACATTAAAGATACTCTTATTAAAAGATGCAGAAAATCAATTCGAGTTCAGTGATAATGAGGCGGATTATACTATAGACGATGATAACATTGAATTTCAAAAATGTTAGTATATGATAATTTTTTTTAATAAACTCGATTAATTATTTGAAATTTTTTTAATTTTTCTTTCATGCAGAACAATCTCATGTTACACATGATTATGTCTCTCCTGGTGGATCATCGTATTGGATTCCTGTTGTTTCAGACAACATCAAACGTAAAATCAATTCAATTTTTGATTTATATACAACAACATTATCAATGTATTACAATTATGCAACATTAGCAGGTTTTAATGTCAGGCTTGGACCATTTAGTACAACTGAATATGGCATTACCACACAACGACATTTGCTATGCAATCGGGAAGGTAAACCAACAACCGGTAAAGTGGATACTTTGGACCCTCAACATAATAAGATTTAGAGAAGGAAAGAATCATTTAGGTGCAAATGCAAATCAAAAAATTGTTGTTATTCTACTACATGGTACTAATAAATATAATGTTGCTGAATTTGTTGAACAACATAATCATATGTTGTTTGGTAAGGACAATATGTTTTTGTCTCGTACAAAGAGGAAACTTGATTATTCACATGAGATGTTTATTCATAACTTGTCAAAGCAAAATATTGATGCCTCAAGAGCACATAGATTGTATTCTGGACTTCAAGGTGGGTTGGTTTCTGATTTCAAGAACAGTATGAGAAATCTCAATTCTTACATAGGTGACATGGATGCAAAATTCCTTGTATTGAAGATGCTCGAGAGGAAAAAAAAATATCCAAAGTTTTTCTTTCGATTTTAGAGTTGTTGAGAAAAAATTGAATTCGATTTTTTGGGTTGACGAAACTGCAAAGTACAACTACAATGCTTTTGGAGACGTTGTTTCTCTGGATGCCACATTTAGCATGAATAAGTATTATTAACTTTTGCAATCTTCTCACATAATTTTTCTTGATTTCAATTAGGCTTACCAAATTTTATATTTTTAAACAGATATGATATGGTTTTCGTACCTTTCACTGGGATAGATAATCATAAGAAATGTGTGACTTTTGGCGCTGGACTTTTGAGTAGAGAAAATGCTAGTTCTTACTCCTGGCTGCTTAGAGCATTTTTGAAATCTTTCAAAAAACAACCTACACTTGTTCTTACAGATCAAGATCCAACTTTAAACAATGCTGTTAATGAAGTATTTCCAATGTCATCACATAGGTTTTGTATTTGGCATATCACCAAAAAACTTCCAAACAAGGTCAACATTTTCTTTATATTTAACCCAAAATCACTATGTATACCTTGTTAGCACATATTATTCAATTCGAAATAAAATATTTCAGAACAAAATATATGCCACAACTATAATTTATTACCGGGTGCAGCTAGATTTTAACATACATTCTTTAAGAATTTAAAAGAAAATTATGTTGGAATTCATTGTCTACAACATTCAAGCCATGCATTCCTTGTGCAGCACAATTATTTATTTTATACTAACATATATATATATATATATATATATATATATATATATATATATATATATATATATATATATATATATATATATTTTTTTTTCCAGATAACATCGCAACTAGCCACAAACTCAGCCTTTCGAAAGCGTTTTCACTCTATAATTTGGAATTCTAAGCTGGAACCACATGATTTTGAAAAGGAATGGAAATCTTGTTTAAATGAGTTTAACATTTCAAATAAAAAGTGGTTGCAAGAGATGTATGGGTTGTGTAGACGTTGGGTACCTGCATTTTTCAAGGACATACCGATGTCTGGTCTTATGAGAACTACATCATTGTCTGAAGGCCAAAATTGGTCGTTTCAGAACAATACCCTTACTGGTTCTTATCTTTTAATGTTTATGATGACATTTGAGGGTGTTATGGAACGACAAAGGCGTAATCAAGTTGTTAACGACTTTAACACTGCTACAACACTTCCTAGATTCATCACATCTAGTCCAATTGAAGCACATGCTTCAAAGGTTTACACTCGTAAATTTTTTTATCAGGTACAGAAAGAGATATGAGATTCTGATAACATTTGTTTCCAAATTAGTGTTACTTCTAATAATTGTGTTGACACAATTATTGTTTTGGAGAAGCAAAAGAACATAACAACAATGCAACCATCAAGTCCTGTTGTTGATGACAAACTTGAGGAATACCATTACGATCGTCTTACAGAGGATACCCAATACATCGTACGTTATTACTTTAACAATGCGTAATTATTTTTTTATAACACAACAATACTTTATTACTGAAATTCATATTTTTTCATACATATTCCAGGTTACACACTCAACAACAGATGGTTCATACAAATATACCTGCTTGCATTTCGAACATGTCGGTATTTTGTGTAGGCACATATTTTGTGTTTTTAAGTTCTACAGTATTGAACAAATTCTTGAAGAATACATTATGAAACGGTGGCGTCGGGATGTTGTTCCAACATAATTGCTTAAAAGGCGTTTTTCTAATTCTTTACTAGACTCAAACTCTGACATAACGACTATTGAAATTTTTTCAAACGTAGATCGTTGTGTTTCATTTTAATCCATAATGCATTGAAGATAAAGTCATACCTTGAAGAGTTGAATAAGCTGAAGAAAAAATTTGTAGATGATTGTCCAGCCCCTGAGATGCCATCAAGAGAAGCATTCTGCAACCAGATGATAGTCATAGAATTAACTAATGATACTCCCAATATTGATAACCCATCAGATATTCGTAATAAGGGAACTGACAGTCGTGGCAAGAGATTAAAATTAAAAAAAGAAATGCTGCAAAAAGTTGGTTCGAAGCCTAAACGAAAGTGTGTTTTATGTCAACAGATGGCTAACCATGACAAACGAAATTGTCCTATTAAAAAACGTGTCTAGGTAGTATGCTTTATATGTAGTTTTTCTTTTATTATTATATTACATTAAAACTTTTTTATTTTATCTTTAATTATTTTACTGCTTACAAATTTCATCGTATTTAATAAAATTGTCATACATTGTTATACACTTTTGCATATTTTGTAACAATTTTTATCTACATTTAATGAGTATCCTAACATGTAACAACATAACCTTCGTACATTCTACCATGATTAATTTGCATCATATCTCAAACTGAAAATTGAAACAAACAAGGAAAACCATAATGTTCATACATTCTACAACTTGAAAAACAACACATATATTCTGTAAGAATATTATGCACACACAACACTTACAAGTTACGTTTTATAATGGACGGGTCAAATGTACACATATTATTCTTGAAAAAAAAAACATACATGTGCATTACAACCCATCTTTCAACATCTCATTTTTTTTACACCTTACCATTTGTAACATAAGCTATTATTTTCTTCCAGATCAGTATTTACAGTCAAATCTAATAATTCTTACACATGAATGTTTTCTATGCCATATGACAAACATCATCGAAACAATCATGGTAAATCACAATCTTCATACATTCTACCACTTATACTCAAACATATACATTCCATCAGAATATCATGTAATTATATTTAAAACATTTTACATACACCAAAACTGTCTACACTAACTTGTATCAAACTACCACAACAAATGCATATCGTAATCTATGATTTATAAACTTAACTTACCTGTACATTACAAACCATATTCCAGCACATTGCATTTTTTGATAGCTTTCATATCCATATACACATTCCAACATCAATCAAGTAGTAACAATTAGCAAAAAAATAAATTCTACTACAACAAACACCATTCACAATAATCTGTTTCTAAAAAACAAACAATTCTAGAACATAATACTTTCCATTGCAAATAAGTTAGACCAAAACAAACAATGGTACCAAAAGTCTTACACCATATAAGAATCCTACCATGATAAATTGTTACCCGAAAACACACAATACTAGACCAAAATAAGAAAACATAGACTTAAGCCAAACATACTACCAAACGTCTTTGAAAACCAACCATCCTAACATCATAAAACTCCCATCTTAAAATCGACGCCTCCCATGTTTCTGCTTCTCCCTTATTTCCTTCACTTCATTCATTATAGCCAATATATGCAATGGATCAAGCCTCTCATATGCTTCTGCATCTTTCTCCAACATACTTTTATGTTTTTTGTACTCTGATTTCATAAGCCTTGCCATGTACTTGATTCGTAGATTATTTAATGCAAGTAAATCAGTCTGCTTTTTTCTTGTAAAACCGCAATCCCAACGCCCTTCATTTTCCCCCATATATGACTCCATATGCCTCATAAGATATACTCCACAGTCTGATCCTTCTTTCTCTACTTTCCATGTCATTTTCATTACACTCGCTTTAATCTTGTGGAAAGCTGTTGACTTTTGGTAATATTTTGTTTTCAAATAGTTCCCAAGCAACTTTTTCTGCGATACAAAACAATCATTTTACAATTTGATATTAAACTCATGTGTTATAAATCTTTCAAATAATTGTGCTTCAACATACCACATGAATGTGTTTTATTCCATAGATTTCCTCAACAGAACCATTTCGGGTCACATGGTCTATAATGAAGTATGTTGGAACTCTTAGATCAAAGCATATCAGATAGTATTTTCTTCTATCAACTATTGGGAAGAAATCCTGTTGCATAACACATAGTGGTCAATAACATAGTAATGTATGTTATGGTTGTAATGGATAAAAAACAAGGTTTAATTATTTCACCAGTCCAATATCCTTCAACTTTTTCTGTTTTGCTAGACTTTTAAGGTGGAGTTTCAATATCGAATCAAATAATTCTTGAGTTCTTTCAGGTGACAATGATACACCCAGTATCTCTTCTGCCTTTACAGATTAATAAACCAATCAATAAAACACATATTATTCGAATGGAACTAATTTTAATTTAAATACTTACCAAAAAATTTGTGTCAAAGAATACTCTAGAAAATGATCCTACATCCCTGAGTTCCTCCATTCTGTTGAGTAAGGATGACCAACAATCAATGATTATCGCATGAATAAACGTGTTGCTTTTAAAATGATATGCGAATCCTTGATGCAATACATGCCCGCTACCAATGTTCCATATCTCCTCCCTGCTCGACAATTAAAAAATGATCATTGTTATAACACCACATTTTAAAAGAAAACCACTAAATTGTATTATTTAACTTACCCATAGTCTCTTTTCGATGCAAAAACCGAGTTGTATAATGACATTTCATCCTTCTTCACCTTATCACTCATTCTAACTATCCTTTCAACAAAATGTGATTTTCCGTATACAGGTATCTTTTGATCTCTTTTCCCCCTTTTTCTATGGTCATCATCTTCTTCACATACCTCAACTGTTTCCATGACTTTCTTCCCTCTATTTTTCTCCTTTTTATAACTTTCCAACACAGCCTTATCCGTTATTTTAATTGCTGTTGCCAACACTTCAGGATTCTCCAAGAATTGTGAACAGGTTAGGTTATCTGTATTCCCCATCTTATCCATTTGAGGTGTACTGAAACCTCCACCATCATCTTTCTTTACCACTTCAACTACCAATCCTCTAATTGGCGAAAATTCTGCTTCTTTAACACCATCTCCATCTCGTTTGTTACTATGACCATCAAAACTAGGATCTTTGTCTTTCATTCCTCCACTCTCTACATTATTAATTTATTTGAACAATTTTTTGTTTTTTCCACACCACTCCTTCAAGCTCAAGCTATCTGGGAATTTCTCAATTCCATGTTTTAGAGCTCTTTCAATATTCTTCTTTTTAGACAATATTACTCCATAACTATGCTTGATAACAGCCACATATGCCTGTAAGTTTTATATTAACATATCATGATTAATATTCCAAAAAAATAAATGTTCCAAATAGATCAATAACTATAAATCAAGTCATTCAATTTAAAGCAGCCACATCTGCATTTATGTTTTATATTAAACTATCATTGTTGACAACTGTGAAAGAAATGTAAACAATTAATTCTTAGTAAATTTATAGCTTACCTCCTCATCACCATAATCCCTCATCATCCCGTCCAAAATATCATCTTCATCAACCATTCCATCATCATCACCAATATCCTCAAAGTTTTCCGGTAACTGCCTACCAAACCCCCCAACACTCATCTCCATCTTCTCTATTTTTTCAAGTAAAGAACCGGTAACATTTCTAACAAACGCTAACCTTTTCACTATCTTCATACCTGCGAACTTCATTTTATGTACATACACCAACTAAAAAAAAGATTAAACTTCATTAAGTAATTCATTATACATATTAATGTCATAAAATAATGTAAAATTTTAATATACACAACAATATTACCGTCAAAACTAGTATAGGTCCACTGTAATAGCATGTCTTATCATCTTTTCTCCACATTTGTTTTCTTCTTACCAAACAATCTAGGATATACTTGCACCAATCAATTTTAGAGAATTCCTTTACCAAGACCAACTTATTCACAACATTAATTTGATTTGGACCACTCAAAGTTGATTCAGCAAATGTGTTAATGAAAAGGGTCAGGATATTCAGCCTAAACATAAGATTGTCTTGCTTTGTGTTTTTGATCCTTTTCAGGTATTCTTCACCATTGAACCCTTTTTTGTCGTATTGGCCTTTCCATTCTTGATGAACTTCATTATCCTTATCACAACTGCTCAAACTCAGAAAGTCTTCCCCCGTATTTGGTAAACCCAACATCTCATGCAGTGTGTCTTTCGTAATTGTTATGACCATATTTTCCATACTTAGACGGCTACTAGATGGTTCATAGTGATCTAACAGATAGTAGTTAAGTAAACTCGGAGTAGTGTCTATGTCAATATGAAGGAGTGAACCAAATCCCATTGACACAATCCCATTTTTCTATGTGGGTGACATTACTTTCATAGCTGAACTTATGCTTCCAGGAGTCATCCTAGTTGCAAGTCTTCTGTAACCTTCTGGATGCTCCTTGCTTATTTTTCTGACCTTCCCCTCCATTGTTTTCTTTTTATCATTTTCATGTTCTAAATTTCCTTTCTTTCTTTTTGTACTTTCCTTTGAATATGCATCTTGCACCACCTTTTTCGTTTCCACAACATCTTCCATGTCTTCCATATCCACACCAATATTAGCATTTTCACTGTTTTTCTTTGACCCACTAACTCTCTCCATAAAAATATCATTTAAACCTCTTGATTTTTTCCTTTCACCACTTGCATCTGACGATTTCTTCTTGTCCTTAACGGGTGTATTTCTATCAGAACCCTTCCTTTTTAGACCTCTAACACTTGTGCTGACAATTTGTATTGTGCCTTTCTTATCTTTGTTAAAATCTTTTATATCACAAAAAAGCAATTACTAATTGTATAATACCACTACAATAGAATAATAAACTCTATATTAGCCATATCAGAAACATATAGTTGAACTCATTAATTACATACACTTATTACATAACCTATCTTACCACATTCAACATTGTTCTTTCCATGTTCTACTTTTGAAGTTTTTTTCTTTTGTTTCTTTGTTTTGCTTGATCCAACAATATTCATATCATTTTGTCCACTTCCGCCACCTTCTGCTTCATTAATTAACAATTAATCCATATTGGCTATCAATATTTTCTAAAATTATTGTTATTTTCCTTCATAAATCAATTTTTTTTAATCTACCTGTATGTTGAGTACTGATATTCTCTTTAACAGGTGTTGATCTCGTACGGTAGTTCCTTCTAACCTTTGTTTGGATTGAAGTGTCAACATTAATTGGGACCGGATCAGCTTCTGTAACATTCAATAATTGCTGAAATGAATAATTAATGTTGGTTAGTAATAGTTTTCAAATTAACCAGCCATAGTGTATTAGTTATAAAAACTAAAAGTATTATAGAACTTTTCATTTTGTAAGAATGAAACACAAATAAAAAACACCATTCTACAAGAATTAAATCCAGATATTAATAATAATAATAATAATAATAATTTATCAAACTTCTCAGTAATAATAACATACAGATTTAGTTAATAGAAATCTCCATATTAAACAATCACATTCCAATCTGTATGACCCCAATATACACTTACCACTGTTAAAACTAAGTAAGCACGTACACACATACCCTAACAATGACTCTATTAGAATTTTAATTTCCATGACAACATTAAATTAGATATCAAATAGAATGAACATAGACAAAAAAATTAATACAATGTCTATTATACAAAGATTCTACTAGAAGTATATCTAGTTGGAGTAAATTCTATCAGAATGCTAATACTAACATTGTACACAAACTAAATTATATTACAGTTCTTCCATTAAAATTTTGATTTTGCTCATTCTATAAGAACACAAAAACCCAATCACATCATTACCATGACAACACTAACTCCTAACAGATCACAATAACTAATACAGGGAAACAATCAAACATACAAAGACCCAATATTCATCCCAAAATAAACATTAATTTTTAAAGATTGTGTAACACTTAGTTTTATTTAACCACTACACCCCCTTCGCACGTTTAATTAAACTAATTATGTTAGAATTAAATACACACCATACATACATCTAAACTGCAACATCAATAACTAACCTTTGACTTCTTGCAGAATAACACAATATATAGTGTTAACAAAATAACCGTTTTACATATATTGTATTCTGGAAGAACGCATATCAATAAGTAACCTTTGACTTAATACAGAATAACGTAAACTCTGACTAACATCACAACCACAACAACATATTTGTAAACGACATACAGGATAGAAACAACATCAACTCTCGTTGTTACAAAACACAACAAAATACACAATAACAAACACAATTTCTTCAAGAATCACATTACAAATATCAATATAGTAAAATTCTTAATTTCGTGTAGAAAATACCCAATTTCAGAAAACCCTAATAAAAAAATACTACATTTTTACTGATTTTTGTTATTTGTTACTTAACGGATTTAAGAACCACATGCATCTACTTCATTTTCCAAAAATTCCAAAAGAATATTATGTACTCAAATGATTCCCTTTAAAAAAAAACCTCGTACCGGAGTAACGAAATCATCATCGTCTTCATCTAGATTCAAGGTCGTTGCTTGTGTGTTCTTAAATTTTGATTTGAAAGAACTCGTTCTTGTATTCCTCATTCTTCTACAATTTTTTTTTTCGAACGATCACACTGCATGTTCTTTGAAGAGAGTTCCATACTATAAAACTTTATACTAAGAAAAAAACACAATCTACTGTTATTTTTGGCTGATTATAGAAGATTTTCATTGATTTCGTGTTCCAAAACTAAGGGTAGTGGAATCCGGGCTTATGCGTAGTTGTAGGGATTATGCGAGGGAAGTTATGAAAATGGATCAATTTCCTATTTTAATGGAGAGCACAAATGTACACATATACCCTTCCCAATCCTTTTTCATTAATTGAGAAGTCTTTTTCATTTTTTTGAATTTTATTTTATGAAAATCATTTTCATTTAAATATTACACATTTCATTGGCCCACAATCCTTAATACAATAACACAACATATAGTGTTAACAAAATAACCAAAGCATATATATATATATATATATATATATATATATATATATATATATATATATGTGTGTGTGTGTGTGTGTGTGTTTAATCAAGAACATTTCTTGCGAGAGCATTTGAGAACAAATCTCGACCACTAATTTTAAACACTAGAAAATTTGAAAAAGTATTAAAAATTATTCTATTATTATTAAAAAAGTAATTGTATCAATTACTCGTGAAATTTTACCCACACTTTCTCTCTCTCTCTCTCTCTCTCTCTCCATATTTACCTACCTACTATATTTAAACTCCACAATCTTTTATCTATTTGAAGTTAAACCACCGGAAACCTCCGCAGTACCGCCAGAGTATCGTCGGAGCGTCACTAGAGTTCTGCAGGAAAACAACTGGAACACTGCCGGATCGACTAGAACCTCGTGGTAACGCTTTCTTTTCACTCTCTCTAGCTAGATCTTCTAGTCACTTCCTTGCTTCAAATCCACTTGTCGCTTGACATAAATCACCTCCGCCTCTCCACTTCCATAACTGCCACCTTGAACTACCTCTTTGAATGCGTTGGGAAAGCATCTCGTAAGAAACTACCTTCTCAGAAACCACCTTGTTGTTGTCTGCTCTCCGGTCTCATTTTCACCGGCCACCGAGTTTCCACAGATCTGGATCCGCACTTGAATCTATAATTGCTTTCCGGTTAGCTCACATAACTGCATATGTCATCGTGATTACCACTGAATTTGTTTCTTAGGCCAAATACGAAGATAAACTGGGGATATGTTTGTATTGTAATCAAAGCTTCAACTGTAGATGTGAATGTCGGTGAACGTGTGAAGGTTGATCGGTGGTGACTTTTCAGTCATGATGAAATTACAATCGTTGGGTAGTGCTAAAGAGAAGGAGAAAACTAAATTTATTTGTGCATAGACTTTTTTTTTTGGGTCTGGAAAATTGCATATATTAGTTGAATGTTTAGTAAAAAAAGTTCAATACATAGCAATTGAAGGAAAACGGGCAACAAGTTGCGCCGCCAGCCCTTCTGGATGGCAAAACCAATTCTTTTGATAACAACATTTGTGGATCTAGGAGATATGACATTAGAATGCATGACCCATTGGACTATATTAAGGAGATCCACCGCCTCTGGTGCGAGAAAACCAAATGTATCGAATACAAAAGCAACATACACATGTTGATTTTCTCTACATGCATTCTCGTGCTTTACCACTTTGCACGCATCGGCTTTCAAAGCGGCATGCTTAGCTGCGAAACCCCAACTCCCCAAACCAACGAGAGGAGAGACCCTAGTAAGATCCACGCACACATGCTTCCCTCTTATCCATCCAAAGAACAAAATGTCAGCCGGTCTAAGTGTGGACCTGCCATCCTACGAGTCCGTAAAAAAGTTCACTAGCACTTCTTTCTTCAAAGAAATACCAGCACGCCGACAAGCATCAAAGAGAACATCCTGAACCACATCATGTCTATATTTGAAACCAGGGAGCTCTCTACAATGAACCGCGTGTTCTCCAAAGGTATCCAAACATGCCTTGCAACAAACTGGGCATATCTCGTCAATTGGGAATATGGGAATCATGAGGCGGTAACGAAGTATAGTTCGGTACTCCACAGGAGACATATGCTGGCCAAGACCATCAATAGGGATAGTTAGCAGAAAATCCTGAGCATGAGGCGCCCGCAGACACTCAAAGACTGCTTTCTGTCTGACAGTCATGTCGAAATCGACTTCCATATCTTGGAAGATTTTGCTAAAAAGGGCACATGCCAAAGCTTTTTGGGATTTAGGGGGGGCAGTGTCCTTATTAGTGAAACTGCTACAGTCAAATCCCGGAATCGTATCGCAGAGATGAGTCATAGCACATAGGTAATCTGAGTCCATACCACATATGCCACTGTCACATAAGATGTGGTCTTGTAATGCCCAAGATTGGGCTCTCGAGGCTACAACTACGTAGGGGGAAACCTCGTAGGCCGAGTACAAACCCAAACCACTGAAACGAATAGGTAAGGAAGCCAAGCGCCAATGAATGTCTCCAAAGAAGGGGCCTCCACATACCACCATATCCTCGATGGACATGCGTAATCCTTTATCAAAGAATAACGCTGCCTCTTTTATGTGTACTGGCTGGCATGTCCTTAAACCAAAGAAACGTTTTGCAATGCCCAGACATGATCTAAGAAAAAGGAGCTCACTCTACGGGTCACATAGTTGTGGAAGAAGGCCCATAAAATCAACATCATTGACCACTTTCTTCATGGCCAACCCGATAATAAACCCCGCGTCTCTGCTAACAGTCCCCCCCCCCCATGGAGCTACACCCCCAAAGAAGGTCTCCCTATCTCTGTAGGGAATAAATCAGAACGAAGCTTCCTACCATCACACGAGGGTCAAAAAAATCTCCGTTTTCTTGATGTTCAACTCAAGACCCAAACCTGGAGCATGCAACCGAATTATGTTCAACACTCTAGCCACCTCCTCTGAATCCCTAATGACATTCCCATCATCTAGGTACCAAGAATGGAGAAGGAGATTACAATTGTCTCTAATCTTGTGCACAAGCAGGTGCAAAACAAGGGAAAAAAGAAGAGGGCCCAAGGGGTCACCTTGCTGCACACCGGTGACAGACCATATGTGTTGGTCTCCGATATAAAGTCTCGCTGCTTGCCTGTACAAGAAATTCACCCACAAAGAAATGGAAGAGCGCATCTTCTTAACCTCGCGGAGCAATGCTGAACAATCCACCAGGTTAAAGCCATTCGAAAAAACTATAGTCAACATTACAAGAGACCCATCAGCATGGTGTTTACTCAACACCCTATTGGCACTGTGTAACACAGCCTCAGCACCGCCAGATACACCAACCCTGAACTGAAAATCATTAAGGTACTTGTCCATTTCTTTACCCACACCTTTCATGGCAACCTTGGAAACCAGACATCTCCATATAGTGCCTACTACAATCGGATGGATCCCATTTTTAGGTTTAAGTCAAGGCGTGAGAGGAGCGGATGCAACAAACTCTGCTAAAATGGTTGGATATCTTCCCGCTAACCATCAATTAACAACTGAAGTGATAACATGTATGAGATCTGTGGCAATAGCCGACCCTTCTCCACAAAGGACGTCTAGTAAGTGTTGATCCCTCAAGCCATCTCTCCCACAAGAAGTTCCTTTAGGGAAGGATTTTTAGACTTTGGGTTGAGAAAAAGTAATAATCATATCTATTTACACCTCACACTAAGAAATGCTTTTCGGATTGGAACTTAATGGGAAAATTTTCAAGATATTATAAATATTAGGTTGCATATGTCAAATACGTATATAAAAATGTGTTTGATTTTTATTATTAATAGATTTATTATTAACAATTATAGAAATCAATTTTGTTCATATTTTGTATTACAAATATTGCTATTGTTTATCAATTTAAAATAATCAAAATTTGTTATATATAATAAATTATAATTAATTTTTTTATTTAGATGGGATTATTAATAGGTGCAAAAATTATGTTTTGTTAAATTGAATGGGTGGTAGATATACAACTAGTTTTTAGTACTTACTAGAAAAACTATTATATCAGAACATGAAAATAAATATTTTTCACACTACTCATATATGATTAAATACATATAATCACATGTGATTAGATATATATAATCACATGTGATTAAATACATAAAATTCAATATGATTAAATACATGTGAAAAATTATTGAATCGAAAACGCAAAAATGAATATGATCTAGATAAATCATATGTGATTAAGTACATTTAATCAAATATGATTAAATACAAAAGAACAAGAATTGAATCAAGAACGCAAAAAATATTTTTATCACATATATCATATGTGATTAAATACAAATAATCCAATGTGATTATATGTATTATATTCAAATAGGATTTATATGGAGAAACACGAATCTTATCCATATAAATATGTGATTAGATACATGAAAAAATTATTTAATCGAAAACTCGAAAATGAATTTTGTCCATATAAATCATATGTGATTAGATACAATTAATTACATGTGATAATATACACGAGAACTATTGAATTAAGAACTTGAAAACAAATCTTTTCTATGCAAATCATATGTGATTAAATACAGATAATCACATATGATTAAATACATGAGACCAAATATTGAGTCAAAGATGCGAAAATGAATATTGTCTAGATAAATCATATGTGATTAAAGACATATAATCACATGTGATTAAATACATGAGACCAGCTATTGAGTCAAAAATGTGAAAATGAATATTGTCCAGATAAATCATATATGATTAAATTCATATAATCACATGTGAATATATGTATCTAATCAGATATGATTTATAAGGATAATATTTATTTTCGCTTTCTCGATTTAATAGTTATCATTATTTAATCACATGTGATTAGATTATATGTATATAATCAAATATAATTTATATGGAAAATATTTGTTTTGTGTTTTCGATTCAATATTTATTCTTGTGTATTTTAATCGCCTATGATTATATGTATTAAACAACATATTATTGAATCTATTGAATCGAAAACTAGAAAGCAAATATTTTATAAATAAATCATA